TCTTTAAACCAGAATATATCTAGAGAAACAATTGCAAGGATCTTGATGACAAACTATAAAATCATATGAATGACGGCGTTCATACTAAATAAACCTTTTTGCCGTTGAAATAACTTTTTGTCCTGAAAAATTTTGATTATTTGAGTGTGAGCGGGTATCCATGGGCCGGTATATCTAAACCCCAAGCCAACCCGGTGAACAGTGTAATGGGTTGAAATTCAAACCTGATCTAACTCGATCAACGCGGATAATAGGTTTGGGTTTTGTTGTCATCCCTAGTCTCATGCATGTCGTTCGAACTAGAAGAGAAAATAGAAGGGGTTTCCATCTTAGTATTTGATTGAGAAGAATGGAAGGACATGGATGTTGAAGCGGATTCGGGTGTGCTAGAGTTAAGGTAGGTCAGGTAGATATTGGGTCATTGGATTGGGATTCGAGTGAGTTTGGCTCTAGGGTACTATGGTGGGTTGGTGCATAGGTGGAACTACTAGGTTAGGGCCTATATTGCGGGTAGGGTTCGGTTCCAGTCATTTCGGAGTGAAGCTGTGAAGGTGAGGCGTTATTTGGGGATTTAGAGTTATCTCATGTAGGGATGGCAATGAGTTGGTTTGGTTTGGGTCGGGTTTTTCCAAACCCAAATACATGGGTTTATTCGTCAAAGAAATTCATGGTCAACCCAATGGGTTTGGGAAATTCTAACCCAACCCGCTGGGTATTGTCACGGCCTTCTCTCGATCGTGTGGTCTTAGCTCTCAATTACGTTGGAGAACTAAGCAGCCTTCACTCAAACTCACAAGCAAGCAAAGAAAGCAAGACAAAGACAAAGGAGATAGAAGAACTCTCTAGTGTGTATTACTCTAAAAAAATGTAAAATGAGTTACAAGTGAAGGAAATGACTGCTTATATAGGCCTCTCCTCGTACAAGGCATCAATGCCCCTCATAATGTCCCTCTCCATTATTACACCCTATTAATTCCCCCCATTGCGCACTCTATAAATGTCACCCATTATGTGACTCATAAGTGCACCATTAAGCTCTCATTTAGGTGGAGAATCCTAGAAGCATCTCTATGCTACTAGTATTCCATACACGCCACATGTGCAACCGCCATGTTGTCACCTTGTTGGCACCATGTCATCTGCCACATGTGACAGTATCCCCGGGTTTATGGATACCCATGGGTTCTGTCGTAAAAAATGCACATTAACAAGTTCCTGTCAAAATAAAAGTCTAACATAAATCTTCCCATGCAAATTATCCATAGAAAAAAATACAAATCTAGAACATTCAAGCAAACCCAAATAATCTATATAAATTGTACAACATTAAAGATAAACATTCATAAACAACATGATTAATTGAAAGTTCTCTCTTCTTGAGAACTTGAACATTGTCATCTTAGTTTCACTCTCCAAAACAAACAAAACCAGTAATGGATAACAATTGAAAATTTGGAACTATATACTTATTTATCAACTACAGTATTTCACGTTGTATTACCTTGCCACATGGGTTCTTCAATACCAGACACAGCAGGAATGAACAATCTCATCTTCCAAATTCAACCAAAACACAATTACATTGCCACTCCTGACATGCTTTTTAATATATTGTTATTGTGGGGATGTGTGATGGCAGAAGGATATAATAGGTAAGCCTACTCTTTCAGGTTAGTACTTTAGCAATGAGTCTAGGACGAATTGAATTGGTCGATTCTTTAAACCAAAATATATCTAGAGAGAATATTGCAAGGATCTTGAAGACAAACTATAAAATCACATGAATGAGGGCATCCATACTAAACAAACCTTCTTTTGCCGTTGAAATAACTTTTCGTCATGAAAAAATTGATTATTTGAGTGTGAGCAGTTATCCATGGGCGGGTATAAACAAACCCAAACCCAACCTGGTGAACAGTGTAACGGGTTGAAATGCACACCCGATCCAACCTAATCAACGCGGATAATGGGTTTAGGTTTTGTTGTCATCCCTAGTCTCATGTATGTCGTTCGAATTAGAAGAGAGAAAAGAAGGGGGTTTCCCCCTTAGTATTTGATTGAGAAGAATGGAAGGACATAAATGTTGAAGGGGATTCGGGTGGGCTAGAGTTAAGGTAGGTCAGGTAGATATTGTGTTAGATTGGGATTCGAGTGAGTTGGGCTCTGGGGTACTATGGTGGGTTGGGGCAATAGGGGAAACTACTGGGTTAGGGCCTATATTTCGGGTAGGGTTTGGTTCCAGTCATTTCGGATTTAGTTAGCGATTTCTCTAAAACCTCGAAAAACGACACTAAAAAGATGGATGGCCTTCAGTGTCAGAGGAAGAGTAGTAAACGGTTAGTCAGTTATCGATTTTAACCGGTAACAAAATTGATAACGACCATTAGTGGTTAACCGATAACCGAATAATTTCTTAAAGGGTCGATTTCAGTTAGCTGTATTTTGCTTAGTAGTTAACTGTTAACTGACTAATCGTTTAGTGGTTAATGGATAAGAAAATCGATAACATCCTACTATTATAACCACATAGTTTTGGCCTTTCTCCCAGGGATCCTAAGATTCAATCAGAGGGACATGTTTGATAAAAGTGCAAAGCACAAGGGTATGTGTGTGGATGATGATTATTTTATGGTGCTTGTGTTTGGTGTCTTGGTAGTTGGTACTCGCTAATTGGATGAAGACTTTTGATTATTTGTAATCTATGTGTTTGAATTTGGAGTTGGATTATCAATTCACAATAGGTGTTGTATTGTATTGATGTTATTTCTTTTGATTATTATTTATTTTATTTTATGTTAAATTATTTGTTGGTTGTATTTTAGTGTTACAAAATACACGATACAAAATTTCAAAATAAAAAATAACACATGTAGCAATTAACTGCCAAACTAACCACTAACCGAACAAATAACATGTAATTAACTAATAAATCTTATATGTTCGATAATCAATATGCATTTTCTACCTATAGACGTTTAGTGGTTGACTGAAATCGAGTAGATTAGTGAAAAAATCTCAAAATACACATCTTTTTAAAAAAATTCCCAAAATACACACGTTTTATGAAAAATTCCCAATCTACACATGTTTGGGCATCACTGCGGCTGTCAATAGCAGTGAATGCATTCACTGCGGCAGACGAAAGTGGTGATGCATCACCGCGGTTGTCGGCCGTAGTGAAGGCCTGACCCAAGGCTGAAACTTCAAACAAACGTAATTTTGTGCTCGGTTATCCGATCATAGCGAAATCTTTTTTTATTCCACCTAACGTTTCAAGATCTTTCAATGAGCAACTTGCCTTCATCTAAAAAAATGTCGTTTGCTATCTCGAACGAGCAATTTTTTGATTTTGTCAAACTTTGGAAGGCCATAAATTTGTGCTCCTCCATCTGAATTTCATAAAGTTTTTTTATTACGCATAACATTTTAAGAACTACAAATTTTACTAGGAAAGAATTTTCAAAACAAGATATATTTTTTGGTATACGAGATTTTGGGAATAACTTTGCCTTTACTTTCCACAAATTCACATACATTCCAAAACTATGGTTATGATCAAAGTTGTAGTCCTTAAAAAGTTATGCGTAATCAAAAAAAGTTTCATGAAATTCGAATTGCAGAGCACAAAGTTATGGTCTTTCAAAGTTTGTCGAAATCGTAAAATTGCTCGTTCGGGGTAGCAAACGACATTTTTTTGGATGAATGCGAGTTGCAGATTGAAAAAGCATTAAAATTTCTATGGAATAAAAAAATTGCTATGATCGGATAACCGAGCGGTACGTTTGTTTGAAGTTTCAACTTTTGGTCAGGTCTTCACCGCGACCGACATTCACTGCTTTCGTCTGCTACAGTGATATATGGATTTAGAATTTTTCATAAAACGTGTGTATTTTGAGAATTCTTTTTTAAAACAGGTGTATTTTGAGATTTGAGATTTTTTTCCGTAGATTAGAGCTCCTGGCAAATGCTCATTTGCCTTTCAAGCTGCCTCTTCCGACGCTTAGGCTGGCTCCAACCCAAGGAGCAAAAAAGCCAAAAAGCCATATATAACTCTTTTTCTTACTCCAACCCACAAAAAAAGAGGGAGTCAAATATGGGTATTGGGATTTTGGGAGCTAAATTTGACTAGAATTTGGGAAGAAAGCCATTTATGGCTGGGCAAAAAAGTGGGTACTGGGCCCACGTTTGTCACTCCATGTGGCCAAATCCCTTTTTTCTTTTTCTTTTTCCTTATCCTTCCTCATTTGTGATTGGTTGTTGCTTTGTTGGTGTGATTTAAATAATAATGAGAATCAATTTACGTAATGACGAAACAACAATCACTTTGCAACGATCATATATTAACAACCATAAAAAACGGTCTTGAAATACAATCACACTGAAACTTGAAATACAAACAACCAAGCAGCAAGAAGTAAAATTAATATTGAAACATGCAATACAATCTACAAGCAAACAAGATAGTCTTAAAGTAACGGCTACAAGAAAATGGTCATATTTGGAGTGGTCCCGAAGTTAACGGTAACAAATTAGCTACTAATTTTTCAAAAAAAAAAATTGTCTCGGAATTTAAAAAAAATTACATCAAAATTTTTGTTTTCAAAAGTAATAACTAATTATTAAAAAAATAAAGTGAAATATAAAAATTAAAGGTCAAATAAGTATTGTTTATTGAAATAAATTGAAAAATGAAGGTGGGAATCTAAATTTAGCTTTTTGTAGGGTTGGAGTGAAAATGGGATTTGGGAGCTAAAAAACAATATTTAGCTATTTGGGGAGTCAAATGTGACTTTGTGGGTTGGAGTTAGCCTTACCTGCTGTGACTGTGTTGCAAGGGACCCATTGTCTTGTGACGTGGCTGTTCCTAGGTCCAGTTATCCTACAGCCACACAATCACAGTCACACTTTTGACTCTACGTGTCGCAATCTAAACGGATAATTCCCACAAAACATAAAAAGAAAAATCAAGTTCTGCTGGATAATCCCTCCTTCCTTCTCAACCTCACTTCCCCCTTCCCACCCAATTTTCCTCTCCGCCTGGAAAACCCAAGAACCGAAACGAGGAACGGGAAGACGGAAATGCAATCCACCAGGAGCTGAGTACAGAGATTCATCAGCTTGCTCCCATTTTCCATCTGAAATCCCTGCCGTCTCCAGCCCTTCTTCGCTGCTTTTGTTGCAAGCTGGTACGCAGAAATTAGCAGTGAAAAACATGGCGGCACTCACTTCAGTCTCCTTCTCGCCGGCGATGGGTCACTCTTCCGCTGACGGAAGGTCTTCCTCCTCTTCGTCTTCTTCCTCCGCCCGCTCTCTAGCTTTCTCCACCTGCGAAGCCTTCCGTTTCCGAACTTCCCCTTCCCCTTCGGCTCGCGTTCGTGGCTCTACCTCGTCGATATCTGGTTTCGTCATCCGTTGCACGTCCGTTTCTACAGGTAATTCCCAAATTTTCTGCTAGCAGTGCTTTGATTGGTATCTGGGCTTGAATTAGAATGGAGATTCTAGAGATCAAAATTGGTGGGTTCTTATGCAATGTTCACTGAACTTGATACGAATTTAATTAATTAAGTTCTTCTTGATAAATTGATTAGGTTCATTTCTCGGCATTATGGCCTCCTTGTCTCGGAATATGATTGAATTTGAAAAAGTTCAATGTTGAGAGTTCTGCTTGCTAGAAAGTCCAATGATATGTGCCGCCTAGAATGCCCGTTTCGTTGATTCCGTGGCTTAATTGATATCTCAGATTTGCCTACTGTGGCCGAAACCAAGTTGAATTTTCTCAAAGCGTACAAGAAACCAATCCCTAGCATCTACAACAATGTCCTCCAGGAGCTTATCGTGCAGCAGCATTTGATCAAGTACAAGAAGACATACAGTTATGACCCTGTATTTGCCCTAGGCTTTGTTACTGTCTATGATCAGCTCATGGAAGGATACCCGAGCGATGAGGATCGCGAAATCATTTTCCAAGCATACATTAGGGCCTTGCAAGAGGAGCCAGAACAATACAGGTTCTAGTTCCTCGTACCTTCGATGTTGTTTGAAGTTTTATGAAGTTGTGGGTTCATAATTCATCGCTTGTGCATTCTGAAGTATAGAAATGATGCCAAGAAGCTCGAGGAGTGGGCAAGGACTCAGACACCCACTTCACTGGTCGAGTTCCCTTCGAGAGAAGGTGAAGTCGAGAGCACGTTGAAAGATATTGCAGAAAGAGCTGGCGCGGGGAATTTCAGCTACAGCCGTTTCTTTGCTGTTGGTCTTTTCCGCCTGCTCGAGCTTTCCAGTGCCACTGAACCCACTGTCTTGGATAAGGTCAGTAGATCTTCAATTCCTTTGACAGGTTGGAGATTGTTTGCTAAATTTACTTTCAGTGGAGACGTTCGTTGTTGTTTCAGAAATGAGTTATTTCTTTTGTTTCTCGATTAATCTATCATCAGCTCAAGTTTTGGATATTCTTGGTCCATATTTTCTGTGGTAGTTCGTCCTTCTCATGTTTCCAACTTAACCTTAAAGCCATAGAAGAGTTTCCTCAATACTTAAACCCAGAACCCCATGCAACAGCTTTGTGCAGCGCTAAACGTGAACAAGAGGAGCGTGGACCGGGATCTTGATGTATACCGCAACCTGCTCTCCAAACTTGTTCAGGCAAAGGAGCTACTCAAGGAATATGTGGAGAGGTATTGAATAATAAAAGCATAGAAAACTAATTGAATTCCCTCTTCCCGTTGAAGTGAGTGCACATTTGAGTCTGATATGGATTCACTAACGCTGCATTTTTCTTTTATGACCAGGGAGAAGAAGAAGCAAGCAGAACGAACAGTGTCGCAGAAGGCTAGCGAGGCTGTGAAGAACTGTTTGGGACAGCCTACCTACGTAGGGCAGCTGTAGACCAAACTGAGTAAAAATGGCTCCACAACGGTTATTTATAATTCCTTCCTCTTTAAGTTGAGGTTAGAGTTGAATTGTGGGTTCTTCACAGCTTCGGAACTGGTCTTCGTTGCAAATATTGTGGGCTTGCAATATTCAGATCAGTTCTGTTTCCTGTGGGAAATGGATGAATATAGAAATTACCCCCATCTCTATCTTGTTCATAGTTTTGTCTTCCTTTTTTTGCTGTTCCAACTCTATACACAGAGTGTACGTACTTAAAATTCAATTGTTCTGATAAATTGACTTTCTCCTACCCTTCACTTGTTTTGTTACATTTGAAACTCTTTTAAGTAGTGAACAATTTTAACAATCATTTTCCATTATATACCATAAACAATAGAAATTTGCCATAATGTATTAAGGATGGCGAAAAAGACCCAATTTTTTGTTCGAACTGACTTGTAGTTTGGATATATGGATACTCGATTTTAGTGCAATTTTTTACTTATTTTTTGCTGCAAACCAAAAATATGATGGAGATTGGAGACACCAACATTAAATATGTAATTGGTTAAAAGTAGTTAATGAGATTATTGATAATGTCATTTTGTGTGTACAATAATTTGGATCCAAGTAGACCCAATTGGATCGAATCCAAATGAGTTGATTCAAATTACACCAAATTCAAACCCCAACAGTCCGACACAAACCAAAATCTATTGAAAATGCATATGGGACACAAACCAAAATCTATTGAAAATGCATATGGGTCATTTGGATACGACACAATATTGATATGAATCATGACGATTATGTCACATTACCAAACGAATTCGATGCATTGTCATGCTAGTACATCTTTCATTGTAAGACAAATATTAGTTGCTCCATCCAAGAATATTAATATGGGCTTATGTTACTTATATCAACAACATGAAATAGTATTAATGCATTGTTTTGTTTTGATGCAGACATTGGCAATTTTTGATTGACGAATCGAGTAGATAGATTGCAACTTCTAAACTCACCTTTTTTTATGTGAAAAAATGACCCACATAAAACATGACGCCCATCCCATTAATCGATCAAACAACCCGACCCAATGTGTTAAAAAAACGTGAGTGAATGGTGCGGACTCTATGTGCAACCCACACCTGATCTGGCCTGTGCGCCTCAGGGAATTTTCCAGCACCCACCCAATTACCACTCCAAATCACAAGTTACAAAAGCCTACTTTTAGTCCGTGCCAAATCAACCTAGAGACAGAAGGCAAAAAAAAAAAAAAAAAGAAGGGGGAAAGAACGTTTAACTAAGATGGGAAATGTCAAACTCATCTGGCATCTTGAACGTATCAGCAGCACCAAACTTCCTGAACTCTTCCCCCTGTACTGAATCCTCCTCATCGCTATCGCGGTCCTCTTCATCATGAGCATGGTGACTCGGTGTCGATGGATCGCTCATACTCCTCGATCGGCAGTCGTTGGTGGCAAGTATATTCACCTGACCTAGGTGTGAGATCTCCACTACAACGGTGTCGTCATCCACTGGCAAGGGTTGCTTCCAGGGCTCCCCATCGATCCTCATGAACGTGTGATCTGCTGCGCCTTTGTGGAACTCGAACCGGATTCTATGTGCCTGTGCGAGGCGAGTCCCGTGTCCTTTAGGTGCAAGAAGGACGAGTCCATGCCATGCGTCTCTAAAACCCACAACCTCGATACGCCCATCATCCACAAAGGGTGCAGTTAAGTCTCTCTGCAACCAAAATATTAACATTTTTTTTTTTTGTTCATTGGTTATGGACTGCAATGCAGGATGGGGGAAGGAAAAGCAGAAATTCACTGAGCAAAGCAAACGTCTGGAGTTAAAGGAGAATGGAGTGCTTACATCACGGCGTTTCCAAGTACTTGGTGTTCCCCAAGGGTTTAGCCCGCCAGAAAAGCTGGGCAAGTTGAGGCACACTATTGACCGTATCCTGTGGACCAGAAAAAAGGGATATGAAGTCAATGATATGTGTTCTTCTTAATCAGAAGGAAATCTGTTACAAGAGAAGCAGAAATCTTGCCCATTCGATATGGTTAGATCTTCCCAATGCCCTAGTCTTTTCATGACCTTCACCTTTGCCAGGCTAGCTATTCTGCAGTAGAATATAGATGATGTCAAATGTCATGAAATTGTTCAGTAGTATGCATTCCTATGAAGAAACTGCATCAGACACTTTGACACCATCTTATTCAATCAAGACTAATTAAATCAAGACTAATTAAGACAGAAGGGGAAAAGAAAAAAATTACCCCACCTTGAGTCGGATTGAAAAACAGAAGCGCAAAACCACCCTTGTGTGCAACCAAGCTTGGCATAGGTACTCTGGTCAGAGAGACAGGAGAGAGAACAAAGACAACTAGTTAGAAACATAATAAGCACTAAGCAGCATTTGATGCATATAGTGTAATGGCAGTATTGATGTCTGAGAACTATCCAAATGGGATGTGGCTCGACAGACGACTAAAGAATTGTTGTGATTTTCAATGTGTTAATCTACTCAGATTGCGTACTCAAATAGCCTCCGAAACAAAGAATGGAGGAGAAACAATCATTCAAATAACATGAAGATACCTGATTGCTCAGCTGGTTCTTAAATTTTTCAGGATGCAATTTCCTCTCAGAATGAAATGCATAAGATACTTGAGCATCCATGCCTGCATAAACGAAATATGTAGTTGTTCCGTCAGATAGTCACAATAAATGGAAAAGACCAAAGCTGATAGCAGGCTCCAACAAGGAAGGTGAACTAGTAAAAACATTTTCGTATTTTGAAGGTCTGACCGGGACTGTGGAAGGTTAAAACAGCAGGATGAAGCATACTTTCACTTTCTAACACAAGAAGTGATTATTTGTTCTAAGGTTTGGGAGGGGTTTGGTTCGCTCCAAATATTAGAAAGCATATCCTTCAACAAAGGAGCTACTTAAAATTGAGACGGATAAAGAAAGAAGGATGAGAAAAAAAGTGCTAACAACCGAAGGAGAGCACTATGTTCAGACAGGAACTCTTACCCAAGCTAAAGTAATTCCAGAACCCTCCACGAAATGTGGTATATCCTTCCTGAATGAAAGCACATGTTGTCAGTTTCAATCTATACCATCAAAGCAATCTAGATGCATGATGACGAAGCTAATAAGAAGAAGAAGAAAAAAACCAAGATATAAAGCACAGAGCAGATGCATGAACTCTGCCCATCATGAAATTAGATGCTTCTGTCAGGTTGTCAAAGTTTATCAGTATGTAGCGAGAGGACTTTGAAAAACCCAGTGGGTTGACAAGAAATTAGAATAGTTGAATTGTAATTCACAAAAAGCATGGAACCATTTGTGCAATAAGTATCAGTGATCTGGTTCGAATGATGCACACAAGTTTAAAAGGATTTTAGAAAGGAAATACTTCAACGACAAGTTAGTAACGGTCAAGCTTTAAACAGCAAGTTCCATGCTCTCGAGCAGTTACTTCTCAATTAGCAAGCTGTCAGGGATTCAAAGTATATTGAAAGTGACCATATAAGTGCAATATAAATTGTTTTACCATGTTGAATTCGTCTGAAGAAGAGACACGGTGAACTGCATGTAGAGAATGTGGTAGCTCGAGAGGTGCAATAGGGTCACAAGAACCGTCTTTGGGGGTCTTCATTCTCATCAGAATGTGCCAGCTGAAAGAGTGAATAGCCGAAGTGAAGTAAGTACACATACAAAGAAGGATGAGAAATTAAAACTAAGCTATCCATAACATCAACTTAGGTGACAGCCTAAAGATCTACTGCATAATCCTGAAGATTGAACATTCGTGAAAGCATAAAGTAGATGGGTTATAAACTTTCTACATGAAGCTATATCAAACATATAGGGAGAGGGGGAAACAAAGAAAGCCGAATATGTCATTCACTCACATAAAAGACCCTACTTCCAACCCAAAAAACATAGATATTTGGAAAAACAATGCAAGAAGAAAAGGATAGTAAATAACACAATCCAGCTAGCATCACATAGACAGAGGTGGCAAAGAACTCACTTGTCTATTTTCATTTCTTTTGCTTTCATTACTTCCTTCAGAAAGGATATTACAGATTGACGATCTGTCCCGGGATTCTTTTTCCCCTGCAAACAACAAACTGAACTTTTCAACTCGTTGCTTCCCATTGGAAAGGTTTATACGCATTAACTATTCTTATATGCAGATACCAGAGATCACAACTGCCCAGCTGGTTTAAATTTCAGGTATATAAAACGTGAACAGGCTGCATATATCAAGCAATCAACACTCCATCTCATAATAGATAAGCAACAAACTCATACCCAACCGAAAGCGAAAGGAAGGTTGTTCCCAGTTCCCAAAGGCACAGTTGCAATGGGAGGAGGATGAGGGAACTTGAGATCACAGACAACTCCAAGAAGCCAGCCAGCAGTTCCATCACCACCTGCAACCTAGCATCCCCAACAACAGAGATCATGAAACAAGCTCCCGGAATACACAAAACAGGAAGCAACAAATAAGAACTACCTGCCAATCGAACTCACAATTATTTTCAATTTCTCCTGAATCTTAGCAGCAAACTCGTCACCTCCAGACTTGAGCCTCTCAATATTCATATATATCCTCCGCAGCACTTTATCAGGGGTCTCTACCCCCAAATCGAAAACCTGAAATCGAGGAAATCAATCGCAACATCTTAAACAGAAAGAGAACAAAATTGCCACAGAGACGGACAGCTCTCGAGCTACAATCAAACCTGACTGTCATTGAGAACGGATCGATAGGTTACGAGAAGATCCCCGCCGAGTTGGCCGCCACTCTTGGAGTTGATGAACACCAAAACCGGACACTGCGGCACGTCGGGAACATTGACGGCCTCCGATTCGGGGACGAGTACATACGTAGGGATGTAGAATTCCTTGAGCAGACTCGAGTCGGCCTGTGAATCCACGGACGACGCTTCCATCTGCATTGCCAAATCGGAAACCAGAATTCTCAATTTTCGTTCACCCGGAATTCAAACTTCTATTCCGGACTAAAACCATGCACAAAACACTGTTTCGGGCTCCTCAGCTTCCCGTTTCTGTTCAGCATTTAAGCGAACACATGGTGCTCATTACTGAAACGGAGGGTAGAGAAGCGACAATTCCAACCAGAAAAAAAAGAGAGAGGGATCGGGGAGGCTGGTTTACCTGTTTGCGAGAAAAGAGAGATCGAATTTGGGTGGAAATGGAAACCGAGAGTTTGTGGAGACGGTGAGTGACCGATAAATCGGATCCAGGGATCAAATTCCTACTATTAAACAGGAGACGGAGAACGTTATACGGAGTTTGGAAGCGGGTGGGATATTCATCGTTCGTCACCGAGTCAACGCGTCGCGTGAGAAGGGTAGATTACCTTACGATCGGATCCTTGTGGCTGTAGGAAGGAATGATGAAGCAGCAGCAGGAGAGACGGAGCAGCTGACGTCGAATCCCACCTGGCGCGTCGCTGTAGTTGAGTAGTTGTCTGATTGATTCATCCTCCATTAAATCATGCTACTGTAGGTACTAGGAACTATCGAGTGGATGGGAAGTGGGAACTAAAGGAACTAGCCAACTAGGACATAATTTACCGTCCATTTAGTTTCTTATTTTAACTAGGTTCCCGGGTAATTTTGAAGGCGTGGATGAAGTGTTCACACTTCAAACTATTGATTATTATTTAGTAGAGAATGTTGGAAAGAAAATTTAATTAATTAACTATATTTCTTGGTCGTTGCTGCTTTGGTTATAGGTCCGAGTGATCCATGAATTGGAATCCTAATGCATATGGCCTATGTTTGGCCCAGTTTTTAGAAGTGTTTTTTGGCTTTAAAAGTTTAAGTAGCGCCAAACACCTCTAAAAGTTTGGCTTTTTGTATAACATAAAAGCAGAAGCTCCGAGCGAAAAGCTGTTTTGAAATACAAGATTATCCTTACCGTATTTTAGTTTTATTTCCGAAAATATAATTTTCCTTCATTTATATTATTTTAAAAATAAAATAAATTATAAAATCATATTATTTAATATAAAAGAAATCTAACAATATCCATTTTTATTTATATTTTATATTATAAGTCCTTTATTGTCATTTTACACAACCGCTCATATTAAAAAGCACTTCTAATAGTTTTACAGCCAAACAAAAAACTTTTTTTTTTTTGAAAAGTACTTATCTAAAAGCTCCAACCAGAAGCAATTTCTGCAAAAGCTACAGCAGGGTCAAACTAAGCTATAGACTATAGATACAAATGGCCTAATTCCTCGTGGTTTTGATTTTTGAAAATACTAAATCCAAACCCAAAATAAAAAAAATCAAAACCATATGGTTTGTTTATAATTGGATTGATTTGGCTAGGATGGGCTATACTTTATACAACTCAATTTAAGAACTAATTGAAATTTCAATATAATAAACCAAACCAAAAAACATAATATGCATAGAACTTGTAGTTTGAATCTTGAAAAACTACAATTTGCTTCAACATATGCATAGTATTTTGATAAACAATTACCAAAATAAGCTAAACATATTATTCATTATGAGCTAACACATATATAATATCTTATTCTTGTAAAATTGTATAAAAAACAACGTGAACAGTATCCTATATTAAATATGTTCAATATGCCAAAATATATAAATTTTCTCACAAATATACTTGTATATAGCATAAATACGTTTTAGATACGAACACTTACGACAATAATTATAGTACGATTTGGATTAGTTATCTACCGATTGTATAACCCAAACCCCGCACCAATCCAAAAAAGACTAATTTAACCAAAGAAAATTCTCACACAAGCTTGAACCTTAATTGAATTGTAGTGATAACAACGAGTGGGTCGGGTTGGATTGGGAAGCTAGGTCCGAATACACACGGTTAGGGCTGTCACTCGGTTTTCCGGTTAGCGGCTAACCGGTCGGTTTCAACCGAACCGACCGGTTTTCGGCTAGCCGAAAAACCGATTTTGAAGAGGTCGGTCGGTTGTCGGTAGAGGAAAGCAGGGGTCCGGTTAGCCGAGTAACCGAAGCCGGTTAACCGCGACTAACCGGCCGACCGACCCACAACCGAAAATATAAAAAAGAGAAGTTTAACCCTCCACTCCAGCTTCTCTCTTTCTTCGACTCTTCTTCTCTCTTTCTTCCCTAACTCCTTCGACTCTTCTTCTCTCTTTCTTCCTACAAATCCTTCCACTCCACAGCAGATCCGACCCTCACCTCTCCTCCTCAGTTAACTCCTTCGACTCTTCTTCCTCTGCATGGAGGCCAGATCCTCGCGCCGAGCCAGTCGCCGAGCCAGTCGCCGCACCTCGCTCCGCGTCGCCGCGCCCGTCGTTGACCTCGCTCCCGTCGCCGCGCCAGTCGCCGAGCCAGTCGCCGCGCCCCGCGCCCGTCGCCGCGCCCCGCTCCCGTCGCCGCGCCCCGCTCCCGTCGCTGCGCCCTGCCCCCGTCGCCGCGCCCCGCCCCCGTCGCCAACACCAGCAGAATCGAGAGAGAGAATCGAGGGAGGAGGCGAGAATAGGGAGAGAGAGAGAGTCTGGGAAGAAGAATCGAGGGAGTTGGTTGTTCGATTTTCCTTCTAGAGGAAGAAGAGAATAGAGAGAGAGTAGGGAGAGAGATGGTCTGGAAAGAGAATTGAGAAAACGTAGGGGAAAGAAGAATCGAGAAACAGAGGGTTAGGTTAGGAGTGTGTGGTGCAGATTTATTGTTAATTTCTTTTTTTTTTTTTTTAAAGGTAGTATCCGGTTGGCCGGCTAACCGAGCCAAAACCGGAAACCGGTCGGTCGGTTTGCGGCTAACCGAGGCTCACGGACGGTCGGTTGTCGGTAGCTCTGGTCGAGTCTCGGTTTGACCGATAACCGACAATTCGGTTTTCGGTTAAACCGAAACCGACCGAGTGACAGCCCTACACACGGTTATATTTGTTCACTCCTACGATACGATAGAGACGCAGAGCAAAGAGCAGAAGGTAGGATTTGTTAGCCTAGAAGAATCAATCCTCTCCGCTAGGCGGCCAACAGAGCGCCGGGAGAGGGAACAAAATTTCTAAATTCTCTGATTCTTGAATCTCCCTAAATCAGATTCAAACTTTCACGGGGAAGACGAATAGACGATGACCCCTGAAAACGATGACGGACAGATCGCAGAGATTCAGGGGGAACGGAATCTTTAAATAGCAACAGTAAACTTCAATATATTGATTCCATTAGTGAACGATAGGTTCTGAAAACTCTACCTTGCGTCTGCAACACGAAGGCGTTGTTCTCCCTCTGCTGCGTCGACCACCGTCTGTTGCTCCCTCTTCTACAGCTCTGTCACCGGGGACTCGGGGCGGCGGCGCAGAATTCCCCATTCTTTCGATTTCGCAGGGGCGACTCGAGTTTTGCTTTGCTTCGCAGGCAAGGTATGATACGGGATCTGGATTTGGCCCAAGCAATTTATGGTTGGTTTTTGTCTTTCTTGCTCTGTTGGGTTTTGGTCTTTTTTCCTTTGGTCCAACTCGTGGGAGAGAGAGTCGTGAAAGACAAAAGATTCGCCGCCCAATCAAACGCCGTTTCCAGATTCAAATCCTCAAACGTGTCTGCTCTGCCCGCAGCCGGAGAATTTTCAAATTCTGCCATAAGTGCGTTATGAAACTCCTATTAAACTTTGACCTTTTCTCTATGCCCGTCAAACCCTTCTTCACTATGCTTTTTCAGGTAAGTTTAGGTCAATCAAAGTCTTCTATGGTTTTGGATCAGAGAAGACTAGCAGCATAGCAGGCAGGCTTGGGATACAGTCAGGCTTGGGATAAAGTCTTCTATGAGTTACTGACTGTATCCCAAGCCTGCCTGCTATGCTGCTAGTCTTCTCTGATCCAAAACCATAGAAGACTTTGATTGACCTAAACTTACCTGAAAAAGCATAGTGAAGAAGGGTACTGATATGTAAGTAACTCATCCAGAGCCGTTGATCTAGGATGGAGCGATCATGTGGCTGAGATTGATGAGGGGTATTTCTGTTAGCTTTTTGAATTTTTAATTATTTCCTTTTTTTTAATTTGTCCAGCATTTATTAGTTTGCTTTGCATGGAGGAGAGAGAGTTAGTGTCTTATCTCTGCAACTCTTTTTCCTCTTTTTTTGTTCCTTTCTTTCTCTCATTCTCCTTATTCTCTAGATCTAATCTCTTATCCTGTTCTTCATTTTTCTCTTTAGCAATCTCCTCTTTCTTTGTTCCTTTCTCTCTGCCAATCTCCTTCTTCTCTAGATCTAATCTCTTATTATGTGCTTCATTTTATCTCTATAACAATCGATGAAGGAAAGGTGCAGCCTCCTTTTTTCAAGTCCTCAGCTTCAAAATTGGTGACGCTCCATATAAACCAAGAGGGGACAAATCTAGGTGAGTTGAGTTTGCATGTTTTAGTTTTTGTTTGTGGATTTTCAATTCCAATTCTTCCTTTTTTTTTTCTTCTTTTGGTGTTCTCTTTTGCGAAGGAGGAAACGAGAGGAGGCAGAAGAAAGGCATGTGAAGTACGCCTTAGTTTTATGTATATTGTTGTTACCATACTATACCATGGTGGTATTGTGTGGTAACTAGATGTATATTGTGGTTACCATACTATACCATATGGTAATGTGTGGTAACTCGATGTATACAATATGGTTACCATATTTTACCATGAAAGTAGAGTGTGGTAATCGACATCAATTCAGAGAAAGGAGATTCAGAAGACAATGAAGGGGACAAGAAACCGAAGAAAGTTGTAATTATATATATACCACACTATACCATATGGTAATGTGTGGTAACTAAATGTATTTTTATGCATACCATGTTTTACTATGGTCGTAGATGGTGGTAATTATATTTATATTTGTTGTTACATGGTTTTACGTTCTCTTACCATGTGGTATTGTATGGTAATTATGATTATTTTATGGTCATTCGATTTACCAATGTTCTACTATGGTGGTATTGTATGATAGTTAGATTTATAATTTTTTGTAACATATTATACCACGCTATACCATGTGGTATTGTATGGTAGTTAGATTTCTAATTTTATTTTAGCATTTATACCATATGGTATTGTATGGTAATTAGATTTGTAATTTTCTTTAACATATTTTACCATGTTTTACCATAGTAGTAGAAAGTGATAGTCATATTCATACTTGTAATTACCCTTCTTGGCAGAGAATTATTAAATGAAAATTTCATCATTCAATTTGAGTTGGAGTTGGAGTAGAGAGAGCGCTGATATTGTTGAATTCATATTTGTTTTAGGCCCAAAATTAATGAAAGAAGATAGGTCATATTAATATCACAACCCACTTACATCATTCTGGCCTCTACCGCTGGGCTTCAGACCCATTTTTCGTTTCTTCTATTCTCCAACTTCATTCCCTTTTGTCTCTTCCCGTTATCAATTCCTTCCTATTGAGTAACTAGATTTGAGCCTACCCGTTGATAGGAATACGTATATCACTGCTATGAAAAATAATACTATTTATTACAGTAAAATTACTTTTTAT